CGGGTCCGGCGGTAAGCAATCTATCTTCTGGGATCGATTTATCATGTCTTGTCTAGACGCGAAAAATTGATCCCAGAAGTGCTCGCCGTTGACACCAGTACTCCTGCTCGGCGAGAGGAGTACGCGGCATCAACGGGGGAGCCTGCCTGCTGCGTCTGGACCCGCAGTAAGTTCGACCTAAGGTACTTCGACTTCAGCTATGTTATTCATGTAGCTGAAGTTGCGTATCTTAGTTCGAAGTGGGGGGGTTAGTGTGGACCAGGCCAAAGTATTCACTTCCTGTGCACTACTAAAGTCACTGCATTTCAATGCTGGTTGAAGTGATCCCCCATTTATCTCTTAATTACAACCAAGGTTGTGACTCTTCATGTTCGTAAAGCACTTAGTGCCTCCCACCCAAGAATCTCAGTCTCAGTACAAAGTATTTTATCTGCTGGCCTGAGTAGGAATATCACACATCAGAAGCCAAATTCTACCTAACATGTACAGTTGAATTCCACCCAACACTCTTTCCTCCTTTGCTTTGCTAGGTGCCTCTTGATTAACCTGTGCCTACAATTCTTCTAAATGGGATTTTTTTTCACAGGCTTGTCTACACTGTGCATAAAGCATATTAGAGAGTTTTACAAATCACATGCGAGTAACCTGCTGTGCTCTAATCGCCTCATGGAGACCCTGCTGGTGTGAACTAAAAGATACCTAGTCTGCATTAACATTGTCTGGGTATTTTTTAGTTCTTCCCCCCCTTTACCTCCCCCCCCATCAGGGTCTACATGGGGCAATTAGAGCACAGCATGTTAGAGCACTCTACAAATCACACCCCTCTAATGTGCTTTGCCAGCACCACGGAGACAAGCCCCAGGCTTGGTCTATGCTACAGACATACATCGGTATAACTATGTCAGGGTATAGAAAATCTGCACCCCTGAGTGATGCAGTTATATGGCCCAAACTCTTGGTGTAGACAACGCTATGTTGCCAGAGGGCTTCTCCCATCGACATAGCTCCTGCCTTTCAGGGAGGTGGGATATCTACACTGACAGGAGAAGCTCTCCCATCAGCTTAGGTAGTGTCTTTACTAAGCGCTACAGCAGCACAACTGCATCAGTGCAGTGTGCTGCTGCAGTGCTGTACGTATAGACAAGCCCTGAGAGGCTCACCAAGCCATGACAGGAAACTTTCCTAGAGTAGATGGCTGAATATTCTTTTAACTGCACAATAAACTGTGGGATATCGGATAAGTTTGTAACAATGTGTTACTTAGAGATGACTCTTCTTATTTAGAATGTCCAAACTGATTGCTCTAGTTATTAACACTCTGGAGCCTGATATTCTGTGTGGTTTTTGTTTTCTGTCATTGGGAACAAGTTTGTTTTATCAGTTGCAGCTGCATCTACTTGGCACAATCCATTTGTCATGACTCATTTCACAGCTATTATTGCTAAACAATGTTTTTCCTAGGTGGTGTAGGTTTTGAGCAATTACACACAAGAGCCTACTCTATCAAAGTTCAAACAACTGTGAAATTTCTAAGATGGGGAAAGATTTACATTAGGAACTTCTGGATAGTTTCATGAATTGCAAATATTTTTGTTCAGCACAACTTTGTTTTTGAAACTGCATATGTATCAGGAGCATGCCCAATATGGAACCAAGGGTCTTATTAGGTATCTATCTTCCCAAACTTAAATCACCAGCACCCCCAACCTGCAGCCTGCAAAGTGTCCTAGACAATCTGTTTGACTGCTGAATAGTGCATGTGGGTTACATATACAGTTTAGTGAGAGAATCTAGAACAGCAGGGAATATGCCTACAGCTGAAAATAGGATGCACTTTCTAAGTCAGATTCTGATTTCAGCAACGTCAGTGTAAATTCAGAGTAACTCTCACCAGTATTGCTAATATCAGAATCTGGCCTGCTGATTCAGTGATCCATTGAAGATTCGTTTGGTGGGGAGTCACGCTCTGAGCTTACTCAATGTCGAGAAATTGCATTAGTGCAGTCCCTCCAGCCTGTCACTGCCACCAACTTGCATCTTATATGCCCATGCTAGGGGCAGAGATGCAAATTGCCAGTAGCTCTTACCAGTACACACTAAATAGTCCAACTCTCTGGATACTTTAGCTGTAAGTAAACTCTAACTTTGATTACTTTGTTTGGAAAGACCATGATCTGAGAGACTTCTGACTGGTGTGTCTGAATCTTCTTGCAGGTCCCTCGGGGGGATTTTCAGAGGCACAAAGGGAAAGTGGAGTTGAGTGCTTACCTGCTCTTTGTGCCTCAGTAATCTTCCCTAGCAGAGTGTGGTCATCCCACTCTGCAGAACCAAAATATCTGGGAGTCCCTCACCAAGTCTGCTAAAAATATTCAGTGTTCACTTATGAAAAGTGGATTAATTTGCATTAATTTTAGAATTACATAATTAGTATCCTTATTGGCTTTCAAAGTACTTTACATCCACTCCTTACACCTGGGGACACAGGCGTTTGTATTGCAGTGGCAGCCAAAGGCTCCCGATGAAATTGAACCCTTTGGGCTAGGTGCCATACAAACGCAGCCAGACATAGTCCTCTGCTCCAAAGGGGGGTTACAGTGAAATTGGGAGGTGTACTAGTGGCCTGCCTCTTTAAGGGCCAGAGGCTTGGGGCCAGCCAGCCCTGGTCAATTGTCAGAGTCACCTGGGAAGGGAGTAGGTAACTGTAAAAACCGGCAAGTGTCTCTGTTGAATGTGGATGGCTGGGGAAGCTTCAGGAAGGGATGGTGGCCTGCAGTAGTCCCTGAAGAAGGAAGACTCCTGGTGGTAAACTTGGCAGGATAGGAAGCCCTACTTGGAAGCTTTATCATTTGTGGTCATTTGGACAATAAACAGAGCCCAGAACCAAGGAGTAAAGCCTCACTTGGTGTGGCTGATAATTCACAAGGCTCCTGAGGAAGCCAGCTGCTTATAGGAGGAATGACATGGTAATGGTAGTGGTCTTGTGGCCACAGAGGTAGCTGTTTCACTATGTGATGGTTCCAAATCATTTTAATCTTGTTCCTTAAACAAAATAAACTCTCCTGGCTGCCCAGTCATCATTAGGTAGCTGACTGTAGATGCCACAGCAGAAGTGGGTCCTGAGAGGATAATGGCTTTATGGATTAAGATGAGGAGGATGTTCCATGCCTAAGGCTTACGGTAGAAGCAGCAATGAAGTGGGCATGCTGGCCTCATTGGCAGAGGATGCAGGGGAGACACGGAGAAATATTATGCCATGTCTTGCAGAAGGGGACCTACAGGTGAAGCCACTTGCCAAGTTAGTGGCACAGCTGGGAATATAACTAAGTGCTGGCTCCCAGGCCCTTATTGTGAACCATTACACATGCTACCTCCTCCCTCCTGCAGTACTTCTGGGAGAACAGACACCGTTATGTAAAGGTCCCATGCATGGTTCATGCAGTGTCCCTAATGTTAAACTTGTTCTGTCTTGCTTTCTAGCACCCAGCTAGGTGGTGGACTTGCTGTACCAAAAGGTTCACCTACCTCCTGTCTAGAGCATCATTCCTCTCCGTTGCCAGATCCATGGTGCAATCCACTAAAGGACTAACTTCCTAGACTTCTGCTCCACATGGGGTGAACCTCTGGCTGGTCAGCATCCATTTTGTGTCCTTATGACAAGCTTTAAGTGATGGGATCATCTTAATTTCCAAGGAAAAGGCAGTTGAGCTGTTTGCACTTGAAATTAACTGGCAGATCAGCCACCTGAGAGCAGTACTGTTCCTCCACAGCCACTCAGGCTTTCCTATACATCAAACAGACTTCAGAAAGCAACAAGTCTGACTTTGGGAGCATGTGTGTGTTTCAAAAACAAAATCTTCACTCCAGAATAAGTCCTTGGGGGGGAGTGGAGTGGGAAGCAGGTAGATATGTCCGTTGCACAGAGTGCCTCTGCCTGGCAGCAAGTGACTCAAGGCATAGAGCATTTTAAGTTTCCAGAGCTGATGCTCTCTGGGAATTATAATGTAAATGCTTTTTGTTTTCATGTTCTAGTTATTCCTAAGAACCATTAGCTAACATTATTGCTGGGTGTTTTGCTACTGTTTGAGAATCTACTGTTACTGCATTGTCCTAAATTTATAGGAGGAGATAGTGTATTGCTTGTTTCATTAAGCTATGTAAGCACAATAAAATGAATGCTGAACCAATTAATGTAACCATCCCTACTCTATCCCTTAATGTTTAATATGTGAAGTGTAATAAACTTTATGGTTTTATTATAAATATAATTTATAGGAAAATTTGATTTGACAACGTATTAGATAGGGTGTAAGATAGTTTCTTAACTCTAGTCACTGGCAAACTGCTGAAGAGTAGAGCTGTGCAGTATGTCGTATTTCCCATGCATAAACATTCCTCAGCAACGTCTGTTAAAATACCTTGGGCATCTTCTGAGTAAAACTTCCTACAAATCAAGTTGGTGTCATATTTTCTGTTGTCTCCTTCTCCCTTATTAAAGTGAACTCTCTAGCTAGCCTTGGCTTAAGTTAGCAGAGTCCCTCTGTTTTGAGAGCTATCATCCTTTCCCGTGGAAGGAATTAAGGGATTTACAAAAGAAGACAACTGTCCAGATCAGAGAGAGCATTCTGCTTTGTGATACTGTAGGTGCTAATACTGGATCTAAGCTTCCAGATGTAATTTCTCATACACTGATTTTTTTTTTTCCTGGAGGCTTGTGTAATATTTTAACTGTACAAAATACTTGTTTTTCTAAGCTGTAACAGTGTGTTTGCCTTTTCAGACCTGTTGCAATAATTTTGAAGAAATATTAATGGATTAATAAATTTTTCTTAAATAAACTGTGTCATACTTTATGGTACTGACATGAATCAAATAACTCCCTAAGTAAAACTGATGGTTGCTCACCAAGATTCTAAAATATGTATACACTTACACAGCTATTCTACTAATCTAATGAATGTTACACATTGAGGGTGGGCTTTCTACCAGGGCTTTGGAGCTGTGCTCCGGCTCCGGCTCCGTTTCAGCTCCAAGCAAAAACCTGCAGTTCCGCTGTTCCGCGCTCCAGCTCTGGGCTCCGCTCCAAAGCCCTGCTTTCTCTTTTCTGTTAAAGCATCAGATTTTTGCTTGTGTAGAAACAAAATGTTAGCAGCAACACTAGTGATCACATCTAATGTTGAGCCCATGTAGGTTTCAGTCTAGAGGTTTCTATGTCTGAGCACACTGTAGTTCAGGCTTCACATATCTATATGTTATAGACTGTGTTTACAATTGGATGGTATTTACAAATGTGGGATACAACTCCATACTTTTAGATAAGCAGACAAAAGTTTGTGAAGTTTGTTCCCCAAAAGTGGGAACAGCAAGGGAGCTCAGTAAATGGAAAAATGGATCTCTATTATAAAATTGTCTAAATTAATGATAAATTGGATTTTTAACAGTCAGGAGGACACGAATAGGTTTCTCTCTGAATAATTTATAGTTTTTGGTTTGGTTAAGTAAAGGTTAAGGTTTACAGAAGATAGCTGAGCACCTCCCTGTAAGGAATACAGTAATGATCAAGAAGTAGGATGTGACCTCCTGCCCATGACCAACCTGGAGATACTTGATCCTGGATGCAGCATTTCCTAGGGCGCTCAACTTGTGTATCCACTGACTGGTTCTGGAGTGTCCTGGCTCCCCTTCAGAGAATCATGAGTTTGTAGGTCAGGCTGTAAATAAATTAATAGATTGCAAGACCAAAGTGGACCCTTGTGGTCATCTAGTCTGACCTCCTGTATAACACAGGTCAGAAAACTTCCCCATCATAATTCCTAGAGAAGATCTATGGATATTATTCTCAATTATGATTTAAAAATTGTCAGTGATGGAGAAGCCCTTGGTCAATTGTTCCAAGGGTTATTTACTCTCTCTTGAAATTTTACATCTTATTTCCAGTTTGAATTTGTCTTCAACTTCCAGTCACTGGATGGTGTTAACCTTACCCTGACAGATTGAAAAGCCCATTATTAAATAATTGTTCTCCATGTACATACTTAAAGTGTAATCTAGTCACTCCCTAACCTTTCTTTGTAAAGCTCAATAGACTCAAAGAGCTCAATCTATCACTACAAGGCATGTTTTCTAATCTTTAATCAGTCTTGTGGTTCTTCTCTGAACCATCTCGTTTATCAACACCCTTCTTGAATTGTGGACTCTAGAACTGGACACAGTATTCCAGCAGTGGTTGCACCAGTGTCAAATAGAGAGAAAAATAACCTCTCTATTCTTTCTTGAGATTCCCCTCTTTATACATCCCAGGATAGCATTAGCTCTTTTGCTCACAGCGTCACGCTGGCAGCTCATATTCAGCTGATTATCCACCATGACTCCCAAATCTTTTTCAGAGTCCCTGCTTCCCTCGATATAGTGGGCCATCCTGTAAGTACGGTCTACATTCTTTGTGCCTAGATGGATACATTTAGCCATATTAAAATGTATATTTTCCCCAACCAATCAAACTTGCTCTGAATCAGTGACCTGTCCTCTTTATTATTTACCACTCCCTCAATTTGTGTCATCTGCAGATTTTATCAGTGATGATTTTATGTTTTCTTCCAGGCCATTCATAAAAATGTTAGATAGTGTAGGCCCAAAAACTGCAGGACTGTACTGGAAACATACCCCCTCAATGATATTCCCCATTTACAATAACATTTTGAGACCTATTAGTTAGCCATCTTTAAATCCATTTAATGTGTGCAATGTTAATTTGATACTATTCTAGTTTAATCACAATGTCATGTGGTACCAAACCACCCCAATTCAGTATCTTTTTCCCCTCTATCTTTCTCTTCCTGATTTACAAGATGCTTCTCCATGCTAGTCAATGTGAAGGAAAACATACCCAAAGTCTTGATGGTCTGTGAGGCCCTCCTTATTGGCTGATGATCCCAGGGGACTGACTGGATGCTGTATCCCAGCCAGAGGAGTCTTGGCCTCTGTACTGACTGTCCAGCTGCATTTGGAATGATCTATGAGTGGATTCATCGGTGTTGAGTTCTGCAGTCTATGCCTGGCACCCCTGGAGCTGGGACTTCTGCAGGCAGAGTGGTGGTCCAGCGAGGCTAGCCCTTTCAGCGTGTCTGCTAAGGCTGTAATTTAAAGTAATGAACAACGCTCTGCACATTTATTGCACCATGTAGCTACCCCTATTTCTCATTGATTGCATCAATAAATCCTCCCCCTTTCATCACAAATTAAAATATTTTTCAATAAATTCTTAGATCTCCTTTCACTCTTAAATTACCTTGTTGTGTTTAACCGTTTCATAGAACCTTGCTTTAAAAAAAATTTCTCCTTCTTACAGTTCTCTGGGGCGTAATAAAACTGGGACTGATGCTTTGTGTTGAGTTGAGGCTTACACTAGTTGGTCACATTACTCTACAGAGCTGTGTGTAACTGAAGGAAAATTGTGGAAGTTAATCTCAACTGAGGCCTGTACTAGCCCCCTAGAGTGTGTGTGTCAGTCACTCACCACAAAGGGGCTGGGCCCACACCCTCTCACAATACTCGTGACCCTGTGTGTGGGTGCAGTGCCTAGCATGATGGGATCCAGTTTCCCCACTGAGGCCCCGGACTGCTAAGGGGTCGCCAGGACACAGCGCCATTATGTTCACACTGGGGGGAGGAGGCGGCTAGTGCTGGCCTAGGCTGCACCCCAGGAGGGGGCGCGGATGCTCCTGGGGTTGTGGTGGGGAAAATGGGGGGTGCCTCTGGCAGGGGCCTGCACAACCCAATCAGGACCAAGGTCCGTCCGTCCATCCAGGAATTGCTCCATCCTTCTCTCTATCCCTCAGGGAGCCACCCATCCCAGTGTCTGAGGCACTGACCATCCCTGCCTGGGCCGGCCCCTGGATCCGTCTGTCCGCCCGTCCGAAGGGAAGGGCTGCCCCGCGCTGCGCTGCGCGTGGATCGGGGGGGAGGGGGGACGCGAGGCTCGGGGCCCCTTGGGCTCTGGCCGGGCGTCGCGGCCCCTTTAAGCAGCCGCGGGGGAGAGGGAGGGGAAGCGCCGGCAGCTGGGAAGAGCGCGCTGACGTCACCGCGCGCCCGCGGTTGGCGGGAGATCCGGGCCGGGATGGCGGAGGGGCCGGAGCTGCGCGAGCTGGACTCGGACGGGAGCAGCGAGGAGCTGGTGCTGACCCCCGCCCAGCTTATCCGCAGCCTGGAGCAGGTGGGCGGGGCCGGACGCCTGGGTCCCCGGGTAGCCCGGACTCCTGGGTTCTCTCCCCGGCTCTGGGAGGGGCTGGTGGTTACAGCACGGGGGGCTGGGAGTCAGGACTCCTGGGTTCTCTGCCCAGCTCTGGGCAGGGAGTGGGGGCTGGTGGGTCAGAGCAGCGGGGGATGGGAGCCAGGACTCCTGGGTTTCATTCTAGGAGGGGAGCGGCCCCTGGCGGGTCAGATCGGGGGGCTCGGTGTTAGGCCGGTTTATGGCTCATTGTCCTACTATGCTGTCAGGCCTGGCTGAATGAGAAGTTTGCCCCAGAGCTGCTGGAGAGCAAGTCTGAAATCGTGGAATGTGTCATGGAGCAGTTGGACCACATGGTGCGTGTTTGGGGACATTGGTGGGGTCAGGGTTTGGGAATGGCTGGGCAGGTTCATACTGTCATTGCTAAACTTCATGCCCTGGGGTCCCGTGCCTAAGCTCCAGCCAGTGCTCCTATCCATCCTCCTCTCCAGTGTCCCCCACAGGGGGTGGATGTAGTTCTGAGCATCTTTGTGATTAACTTGCATGCTCTGCCCAAGCAGTGATGGTTCATGCTTATGTGCTGAGAGCAGCAAGAGCCCCCATGCTCCTGGCATGTTGCTGGTAGTCACAGAGTTTAATATTGGCAAAAGCTGTTGTTGTTGCCCATCTGCTATTCCATAGGGCCTTCAGCATGATTGCTGTTCATCCTGGCCTGCAGCTGGTTCGCCAGTGTGGGCTGGTGATGGGGACAGTGCTGCTAGGCGGTTCCTGGTTCTTTATGCAGTGGTTTGCTACAGAGGTGGTGTAAATCTCCTGCGCCAGACAGCCTCGCAGTTGCCTGGATGACAGAATCAACCATCTGCAGTCTTGACCATTACCTGCCCAAATCATATATGCTGCAAAATCTGGCACCTGATTCTTGGATTCCCTTCTCCAAGGAGCTGTCCCACATGTTGGTTCCCGTCGCAGGGAGGAGTGGTAACCTGCATTCCTGGTACAGTTGCTCTGTCTGCAAGAGGCAGCTGTAATCTGCCTCTTTCCTGGGGCTCTGTCTGTGGTCATTGGCCTCTGTGTCTTTAGCTGTTGAGTGTTTGAACAGTCTGATATTCCCCCTATGTGCCCCTTCTGCAGGAGTCAAATCTGAAACGAGCCAAGCACGGAGACCTGAAGGTCAGCATCCACCGCATGGAGATTGAGAGGATCCGCTATGTCCTCAGCAGCTACTTGCGCTGCAGGCTTGTGAAGGTAACACTCTGCTGTGCTGTGCCGTGGGAACGTGACTCTCAGGAGAGTGGCTGGAGGCACAGCGTTCTGGCCACACCAAAAGCATATTGCTTTGGCCCAGGGCTCTGAGTTACGGTCCCTTGACATGTTTGGTTAGAGTAACCAAGGTTCACCTGGGGAATCCAGTCCTCATTGGTGTCAAGCGCAGCATCTTGTTCTGGGTATCACAGTGACTTGGGGGCGGGGGAGGGGTATCAGTGCTGCAGTGAGCATGTTTATTACCCTATGGAGGGTCAGCAAAGTGCAATCTTCCTCCTGGAAACTCCATTGCCATCCTGCCTCTCAGGCGCAGACAGCCCTGCGCGGGTCAGGAACTAATCCCAGAGCAGATGCGCCACCCTGCACGGGTCAGGAACTAATCCCAGAGTAGATGCGCCACCTCTGCACCTCACCAATCTGCAGTGACAGATTCCCTCCGGCTATAGAAGTCTGAATTCGGAGAGGGAGAATGCTGGGAGCTGCCTATGACAGAGCTCTCTGTTTCGATCCCCGCTGACACTTCTTTGGGGTTTTTCTTCCCCTGGCAGATCGAGAAGTTTTTCCCCCATATACTGGAGAAGGAGAAGTCCCGAGCGGAAGGAGAGCCTTCCGTCCTCTCTCCAGAGGAGTTTGCCTTTGCTAAAGAGTGAGTAGGTGTGGAAGCAGGCTGGGCAGCGGGGTGAACCAGGTCTACTCTGCAGGCTAGATCCAGGCCTGGAGAACTGGGGTTGTATGCACTCCAGCTCTCCCTTTGAGCCTATGCTTCACATGTGTAGATCCTCCCTTGGCAAACTTGGCCATGGCAGCTTGGTTGGAAAACCTTGTCCCCTAGTGACCAGCTAACAAGTCCCTCGCTCTCTGTTGGGCCTGCAGTGAAGCCAGAGGCTTGGCCCTGAGTGTTCCTGACAGTCTGGGAAGGGGTTGAAAAAAGATCCCTGCTCAGCCTCCATCAGTCTTGGTGTCTGGCCGCTTGCCTCCTTCCATGTGCATTTCAAATTCATGACAGGAGCCTCTTCCTGCTGCACAGCTTCCTCACCCGTCTCCATGCGGCTCTCTGCTGGCAGTTTGTGGTAGGCCATTGGCCCAGGAGGTCTCACTTCAGCCACCCACTAAACTATGCCAGAAAAGTTCCCTCTGCTGCCCGAGTCCTGCCTGTGGGAAGAGCCCTCACTGCCTTTTGTGTCACCTTCCCATGGAGATAGGCTGTGCCCTTGGGCACTGAAGGATTTGCGTGCGCTGTTCTGCTGGAGCAGAGAAGCCTTAATTTCAGCTTCTGCTCCTCCAGACCAAGCCGCTGCTGCTGTGTTCCCGTCGTGCTCGTGGGTTCAACATGTCTTGCTGGCACCTAGAGTCAGTTCTGGCCCAGCAGCTTTTGCCGTAATCTGACTGACGATAAGGGCTGTTTGTTTCAGGTACATGGCGAACACAGAAACCTACTTGAAAAATGTGGCCCTGAAACACATGCCTCCCAATCTGCAGAAAGTGGATCTCCTGAGACTGGGTAAGGGAAGCCCGGCTGCAGCACAGGCAATAGAATTCTAGCAGAGGCTCCTGGGGACACATCCTGGATGAGCCCTGGAGTCACCTGAAGTCCTAGAGAGCAAGCAGTGTAAGCGCTAGAGCTCCGGCGAGTGCTTGGAAGAAGCAGGTGTCCGAGCACGGCCCTCTCCACGCTGCTGGCCCTTTAGGTGGTCTGGATATGTTCACACGGCCGTCTCCTAGAATCGCTCTCTGGGGAGAGACAAGGGAGTCACCAGGCTATTCACACTGGTCTCTGTGTTCTGACTTTGCTGCAGTCTCAAGTATGTGTTGGCTGGTGCATTCGGGGTTGGCCAGTCGCCTGCGATGCCCCCATTGCTGGTGCTATTGACCAGCATTGCACTGTGTCCTCATGAGCATCCCAGCTCCTCGTGAAAGTCCTGGAGAGGAGCAGGGACTGTTCACGGGAGTGGCTTGTGCAGCACAAAGTGCCCTGTGCTCAATCACTTGGGTCAGGGCTCTGAGTGTGTCACTTTCCTTGCAGTTCCCAAACCCAACCTGGACTCCTTTGTATTCCTGAGGGTGCAGGAGAGGCAGGAAAACATATTGGTGGAGCCAGAGACCGATGAGCAGAGGTAAGTGGCCTATTGCTTTTCTGTGCACTGATACGTGCATGCCTTAGAAATGCCATCCTGACTGTACTCTGCTCAGCTTCCCGCCGTGGAGAATGCAGGGGGTGTTTCTGTGAGTTGCCTGTCCAGCGGTGGGTGGGTGGGCTGGATGGAGCAGCACTCCTCCTTGCCTAATCTGGTCACGTTGCCACTGCAACTCTGAAAAGCAAGCAGGAGCCCCAGGAGAATGCAGCACCTCTCTCCTCTCGGCCTAAGCTTGCTACTGCCCTTCCATCTGACCCTGTCTCTCTTTCTCCTTCAGTGAATATGTGATTGACCTGGAGGAGGGCTCACAGCATCTGATCAGATACAAAACCATTGCCCCCCTGGTGGCCTCGGGAGCAGTTCAGCTAATTTAAGACACCACAAGACTTAAAGGGGCCAGGCAAGAGGCCCTGCAGTCTGGGGGGGCGAGTGCTGTGCACAGGGCCACCTGAGAGCATCGCTGTGCCAGTCAGCGCATGGACGCACAACAGTTGTGGACAGTTGTAAATACCTATCCTGCCCCCAGCCCAGCCCGGGGACCCAGCAACTCAGTTTTTCTGTAGCCTGAGGACAGGAAGACAAACAGCCGGAGAAAGGTGCCATCAGCAAGTGCCCCAGTCTGGGGATTGGGGACACTACCGCCGAAAGAAAGCTGAGACAGATCTTCCACCCAGCTGCAGCCTCTACAAAGCTGCTGCTCTGTTGTGGAGACAGCAGGTGGCACCATTGCCATGCTTATGCTCTGGGTATTGCAGCCAGCTGGCAAGTAGCCCCTGGAATGAGTTAGTGACTGTTGGAGGAGGATGTGCCAGTGTGAGCGAGGTATGTTATAAAGACAACTGCAAAATCTCCATGTGTGTCTAAAAGGGCACCGCCACCCACTGTCCAAGCCTCCTGTGCAGCTAAGTTAGGAGAGATGCTTAAATGTTGTGTGGGGAGGGGATTAGACAATGGATGAGTGCTTGTGTGGGTTTGCAGCAGGTACTAGCCCGGAATGGCCTGGGGTGGGGCTGGTCATGTTTGGAACCTGCAGGAGCTGTGGAGCTCTTACAGGCCAGGGATGGCAAGTAGAATGATTGGCCTGAGAGAGCACAAATAAACCTGCGGCGTATCTCTGGCTCTAGCTCTCAATGAGGAGGAGGTGGCGTCTGCATCCCTGACAGCAATTTTGATTCACTTTGATGTATTCGTGGCACCCATTAAACAATCGGTGGCTCTTCCTGAGAGCCGGCAGCCTGTGTTCCAGACTGCGTCCAGCATGGCCTGGGCATGGGTCGCTCAGCCTTTCCCCGATGAGCATTCCAGACACCAGGTCTATACAAGTACCTCCTCTTGGGTGTAAAGCACAAGGGCACCAGTGCTTACCATGGTCTGACAAAAGCGGGTGGTCTGTGTCAAACTCTGGGAGCGGCACCTTAGTAAGACTGGCATCCTGGCTTGATGGAAAGTTGGTTGCCAGGTCTGTGACCCCTTGTGACCTGCCCATCTCCACTTTAGCACTGCCCTTTGCCAGGTGTAGAGAGGTGGTGGAATCTCCTTCCTTAGAGGTTTTTATGGCTTGACAAAGCCCTGGCTGGGATGATTTAGTTGGGGATCGCTCCTGCTTTGAGCAGGGGGTTGGACTAGATGACCTCCTGAGGTGCCTTCCAACCCTGATATTCTGAGTCTATGAGGTGATCCATTCAGCCAAAAAGCACAGTACGTAGATTCTCCATTGCAAATAGTAGAGGTGGGGGTGACCGGAAGCTAGGAGTGGAGAGAGTGCTGGGCAGACCCTTCTGTGTGGGGGCTGAAAGGGGAGGAACAATAGCTTAATGTTCAGAATGTGCTAAATACCAGGTTACCTCAGCACAGTGTGAAAGGGCTGCAGCTTGTTTCCTTGATTGCCAGCTTGATGGTATTAATGGGGAAAGGAAGCTTTGACATTAGTACCTCATTAGGTGAATGGGGTGCTGAATGGCCTGAGTGTGGGACTGGAGATTGCTCCCTGCAGAGCAGACAGCACCCTGGGAAGGCGGCTCCTGTGGGGACAGGCAGGGTATCTGCTAAAGCAGCATACACAGCTTACTGAGGCCTTGGCTACACTCGGGACTTGCTAAGGCAGCGCTGTGAAGCGTGAGTGTAGTCGCGCCGCCAGCGCTGCGAGAGAGCTCTCTCAGCGCTGTATGTACTCCACCTCTCCGAGGGGAATTGCGTGCAGCGCTGCACGCTCTGATTACACTGGCGCTGTACTCGCTGTGCTCAGGGGTGTGTTTTTTCATACCCCTGAGCACAGCAAGTTGCAGCGCTGTACATCGCTAGTGTAGCCAAGGCCAGTGTGGAGTGGCCACAATTACTCCAACGTGAAGCTGCAGAACTGGAATTCATTTGCAAACTAGATACCATCAGATTAGGCCTGAAAAAGGCTGGGAGTGGTTGGGTCATTACAAAACCTAAAGTTATTTCCCCAATACTAATTTCTCCCTACTGTTACTCACACCTTCTTGTCAACTGTCTGTAATGGGCCACTCTCGGGCCACTTCAAAAGTTATTTCTCCTCCCTTGGTATCCTGCTGTTAATTGATTTATCTCGTTAGACTGACTTAACACTTGGTAAAGCAACCCACATCCTTTCACGTATTTATACCTGCTCCTGTATCTTTTACTTCATACATCTGATGAAGTGGGTTATAGCCCACAAAAGCTTCTGCCCAAATAAATTTGTTAATCTGTAAGGTGCCACAAGGACTCCTCGGTTTTTTAATTACAGTGTAGTGATTCCTGTGGCTACAGGCTTCTCTACAGGTCAGACGCTGCAGCGAAGACGCTAGCTATGCAGACAGGAGGTGTGGTCCCAATGGCATTGGTGTGCAGTGAGTGTTTGTGCCAGAACCTCAGTGACGTCTGCAGGTTTCAGTTTTGTCTGAGAGCCTGGCCCAGGTGGTGATTATGGAATAGCTGCCCCAGGCTTTGTCTCCCTGTGCTGTTGCACTGCCAGAGCAAATACAGTTGTGCAGAGGATTTTGGTGGCTGGGATTTTACCTCTTGAAGTATGACTTTGCTTTGGAGCCATTGCTTCTGGTAGTGCCCAGTGTGGGGGTCAGGGACCTTCTCTTAGCTTCTGTCTGTACTGATTTGCTTCAGGGAGAGGAGAGGGAAGTGCACAGCTAATCTCCAAACCCCCAAGGCCACTCCAGTGGGTTCAGCCAATGAACTCTAATGCAAATACATTATCTCCCCACTCCCTGCCACCCTTTGTATGTGCACAGAGAGGGCCTCGCCTGATCAGCTGGTGAGTGCAGGTCAGGAGGGCTTTGGGAGGAATTTCTAAGTGGCTCCAGGGAGTCCCTGTGGCCTTCCTGTTAACTGGGCTTTCTGCCTGCAGTGACTGGTGCTCTGGACAGGGAGTGGCTTTCCCAGAACAACTTTGCAATAGAGTCCTGCCAGGGAATGAGACCAAATCCCCTTTCCTGGTTCTCCTTTCTCCAGCCCTCCCCTTTCCCCACTCCTTCCTATCTCTACCAGGAGTTTACACAGCATCTGGAGGATAATAGCGTTATAAGGAATAGCCAGCATGGATTTGTCAAGAACAAATCATGTCAAACCAACCTCATTTCCTTCTTTGATGGGGTTACTGATCTAGTGGATGAGGGGGAGCAGCAGATGTGATATAACTTGATTTTGACACAGTTCCCCATGGCATTCTCATAAGCAAACTAGGGAAATTCAGTCTATATGAAATTACTGTAAGGCGGATGCACAACTGGTTGAAAGATCATGCTCAAAGAGTAGTTATCAATGATTGGCTGTCAAACTGGGAGGGGTATCTAGTAGGGTCCTGCAGGAGTCAGTCCTGGTCTGCTACTAGTCAATATTTTCATTAATGACTTGGATATTGGAGTGGAGAGCATGCTTATAAAATTTGCAGATGACTCCAATCTGGGAGGGCTTGCAGGCACTTCAGAGGACAGGATTCAAATTCAAAACAACCTTGACAAATCAACAAGATTAAATTCAAAAAGACAAGTGCAAAATACCACATTTAGGAAGAAAAAATTAAATGGCCAGCTAGCACTGAGGGTCTCTGCACTGAGGCTGCTGCTGTTGCTAGCATTGGTTGAGTACCCCCAGTGCTAGTTACCATGTAAATACTAGTGTGGATGGGGCACAAGGATCTCTACTGCTGTATCTATCCCTGCTCTGAGCAGATTTTCTTGCCGTGGTGGGGAAATGCCTGAGCCCTGTCTGCACCAGTTGCTGCCCAACTACAGGTATTAACTCTTCTAGCATAGACATACCCTAGAGATGAGAGAAGAGCTTCATCTGCAAGGCCCTGCAGTTCCTGGCCTCTCCGCTGAGACCAGCCAACAGTACGGTCTGGGCTGTGGCTATCTGCTGCAGGGAACTAGTGCCTCCTTCGGGTACCAAACATCTGTTCACTGTTAATGCCTCTAGCGCCTTCCAGCTTGGCACAGATTACAGCTGTAACTGCACCCATATCCCAGTCTCCAAGCTGAGGAGTTAAACAAGAGCGTGAACTGAATGCTGCTTCCGGTCTTCTCTCCCCGTCTCAGGAAAAAGGGTATAGCAGTAATGGGAAGAGTTGAGAGAAGGGCAACGCAAACACTTAGTAACCTGGGAACACTTCAGAAAAGGCCTGGGACTGCTTAAGTCAGCAAGGAGATAATAGGGGATGGCATGATGAATGTGTACGAAATGATGAACCATATAGTGAAGGCTGGGGAAGTTTTCCTACTGTATATGCCCTTTCTCATGCTCTCTGGAGATCTAACTCAAAAGCAAAGGATCGCCCAATGAAATTAAAAGGCAACTAATTTAAAGCCAGTAAAAGGAAATACTGCTTTACCTGCTGTGTGACCTGTGAGACTCCCTGCCACAAGGTGTTGCTGAAGCAAAGAGCTTAGTAGGATTCTAATAAGGTGAAAAATAAGAATAGCGACAGCGAACATGTTGTGGAAGGAATCTAAAGCCACATGCTTCAGGACACACAAGCTACCTGCTGGGGCTAGGAAGAAATTGTCCTAGGAAGATGTTATGCCACCCCAACCCACGGCAGGATTTTTGTGGAGTTGGGATACGGGGTTGGAAGGATCGTTGGGTCAGGCAGTTAATTCCTTTGTCCCTGTTGGATAGAGAAGAAAAGCTCCTCCTTCCTTGCTGGTTTCCACATGCCTCTTCTGTGTAAGCGGGAGCCACCTGACTAACTTCCAGGGCTCTCTGCCCTCTGCCATGGCCATGGGTCTGTTGGGTGTATCCAAGGGCACAGGCCTGCAATCCTCAAAGGGCCTGGCCTCCCCTGCACGTGCTCTCTGGGAGGTGAGGGAGCAGCTCAGCTCCCCTGTGCAGCAGGAGGCATAGGGATGGCATGTGTGCAGTACAACGCGGGGTGAGAGCAGCTCTGTGTGTGCTGTGGTTTAGAGCATCCCTAATGAATCCATTTATGTAAAGAAGATTCATTAGACACAAAGGTGAAAAGGAATCTGGTTTTAATCCTAAACAAGTGAGGAGTCCAGTGGCACCTTAAAGACTAACAGATTTATTTGGGCATAAGCTTTCCTGGGTAAAAAACCCACTTCTTCAGATGCATGGAGTGAACATTACAGATGCAGGCATTATTACACTGACACGTGAAGAGAAGGGAGTTACTGCACACATGGGGAACCAGTGTTGACAGGGCCAATTCAATCAGGGTGGATATAGCTGATGAAAGTTGCTTTTGTAGTGAGCCAGCAGCCACTCCCGGTCCCTATTCAAGCCCAAATTAATGGCGTTAAATTTGCAAATGAATTTTAGTTCTGCAGTTTCTCTTTGAAGTCTGTTTTTGAAGGTTTTTTTGTTCAAGTATGGCTACTTTTAAATCCGTTATAGAATGTCCAGGAAGATTGAAGTGTTCTCCTACTGGCTTTTGTATGTTACTAGTCCTCATGATCCTAACGAAGTGGCACCAAAGGCTGATGGCTACAGTTCCCACTGTATGCCCTGCCCCCACAGACGGCCACTATGAGAATTCTCCCATGGGCTCTTCAGCTCCCGGACAAATCGCTGTTGTTTCCACTGGAGAAATATACTGTGGGAGAAACTTGCTGGAGTTTCTCTCTGTAGCACGTTTTCACTGGACCTCTTTCTCCTTCACCCTATTGTGTTTAATCAAGTAGTTGTCCAGACAGCTGCTTTAGCGCTGCAAAGTCTGAGGGGGGCGGGGGAAGAGAGCAGAGGGAAGTCAC